GTTACTCAAAGCAGCCAGATGCTCCTAAACCTCACAGACTGGTATAAAACTATCACTGTAGGTTTATTGTAACTGTATTTTTTCCTAAGCTCTGGCATGAATTGAGGTAGCAGGCAGATCAAAGGTGAATAGGTATAACATTGAAAATGAATGGTGACCCTTCTCTCAATGCGACGCAATTCTGTGGAGCTTTATTTGGGCACTCATTCCCTTTCCTGAGAAACTTTCTTCTTGGCCAACACTGCATATAGTCATCTGCTGAACTGTTCTTCAAATAGATCCCATTTCTGGATGACCTCAATGTAGCTTCAAAGCTTTGTTCTCGTATCATAGATGTCACATACAGAGGGCAGGGGGAGCAGCTGGGAAATACAGCTGAAGAATGAATTAACTTCGGGGCAGAATCTTAGCTCTGGGATCACGACTGTTTACTCTGATCTTGATAAGTACAGGAAGCACACAAAGAGCCGGGGACCTGAAACAACATCAGGCTGTACTGCACTTTCTAAACATAAAATGCATGAATGTCATTGATGTGAAATCCATTTCCATAACTCAAATGCTCAGGCCAAAGGCTAATGAGACAGCCCAAGTCCTAGCTGAACCAAAACCTCCCAGAGGTGAGTCCTCTCGCCCCTTCTTGCCCTCGTGTGCAGAAGCACTCATGAATCCCTTACCAGAACAGCTGCCATCGGCCAGGCAGAATGCAGCATCATGTGTGCTCTTGTGCTCTTGCAAAGTAATAGAGACGCTCCTTAAATAAAGAGAACTAAGGAGCAATGATCACTTCCTGTGTCCATTTCACAGAGGAAGGCAATATTTCAAGGAAGTAGATGTTTTACATCTCCGTAGTTTCCACTTAGCCTCTGACATACTGCCACTGTAAATCTGATGACTGCCCAGCTGACAGCCTCCCAGATATTTTGCTCCAATGTTTCTCTAAGAGGAAGAAATGGAGAGAGAGAGAGAGAGAGACAGAGAGAGAGAGAGAGAGAGAGAGAGAGCAAAAGAGAGAGAGAGAGGCCTGTGATTGTCTCAGGCGAGGTCTGTGTCTTTCTGTCTCTGAACAGAGAGATGCTAGTAACAACATAATCATGACATAATCAGTAACCACCATAAAGACAAGGAACAACCTCCCAGGCCCTTAACCTATTACTCACCCAAAGCATGATATGTTTTCTTCGAAGGCAGTCAAGAATTTGAAAGTAGTTTTTGTTAAAAGCAAAACAGACAGCATACCCCTTGACTCTTCACTTGGGCCTATAAATGCCTAGTAGGTAACTAAAAGAAGAGCAAAGTTTGACCTTTATTTTGTAAAACTCTGAATCAAATCTTTCTCAGCTCTGCATACAGGCCTGTTAGTCACTTAGGGAGTCTGATCCTCTTCAGGAGAATGTGATCCTCCAGCTGTTGCTCAAGCCCGTGTCCTTTCCCCATCTTCTCTCTTCCTTTCCAATGACAGCTTTTGTAATAAGTTCATAGCATCACCTTCATTTTAATTCCCCTTATCACTAAAGCGAGGACTCATGGTGGCAGATAACAATAACATGAAATAGGAGAAGCTGAAGGGGCCTACGGAGGAAAGAGAAGGTGGTGCTTGGCTCTTGGGACTATCTCTCTCCATGGTCTTTCCCACTTGGTACCGCCACAGGAGTAAGAGTTGTTGGTAGGAATCAGTCCTGTGGTTCGTTCTAAATAGCTGCAAGATTTTAGAGTTAGATTTAGATCTTATTTCTAGCTCTCTACAGGCTAAGTGACCTTCTACAATGCATTTAACACCTCTGTGTCTCCTTTTCTCGTATAGTAAGAAAAGAATGTATTTGCTCCAGAAACATACACGGAGCACCCACTCTACACCAGGCTCTACATGCGTTGCCTTGAATCTGGGAAAGAGACAAACAAAGGGATAAATGAAATACAATGCTCTCCATCCAGTTCTTGCTGGATGATTTAATTCTTGTACAATGTGACATCATTTTCTTTATTATCAGACCCAGCCTAACCCGCCGTCCAATTTCATCTTTCATTATACACACAAGTACATTCTCACCCACTGTCTCTTGCCCTCTTGTTCTCTGTATTCTTGCACTATGGAGGACATGTACTATTTAGAGTCCCTGAAAGCATTCTATTGAAATTCTCAAAGAACCATTTCTCTAACCTTCATAGTGCTATCACAGTTATAATATTATTTTTATCTCTATCCCTTAATTAATGGTTGTCTCACCCACTTGACTGGGACTTTCATATGGGTAAGGCTCACATCTGCCCTTCTTCAATGCTATCTGCTGATCCCAGCATCTTTCAGATATTCACCTGGTGCTCCATATTTATTAGATGAACAAGTTGGTGACTACTTGACTTGTATTGTGCTCTTTTCCGATGGATTCTTTCTAGGACTTATTTAGCCCAATGACCTCATTTTATACATAGGAAAACTGAGGGAAAAACATTTATTTGGGATCATACTATATGTTTCATACTGAGGCAGAACCAGGACATCTATTTCCTCTATCTGGCTTTTGTATGCCTGAGCTTCCAATTCTTGGGCCTTTGGATTTAGGCTGAATTATACTACTGTTTTTTCTAGTTCTTCAACTTGTAGACAGTAGATGATGGGACTTCTCGGCCTCTATAATCATATGAGCATATATGTACAGACTATCTATATACTTAACCTATTTACTCTGTTTCTCTGGAGAACCCTGAGTAATACCCTCGGCTAGAAATTATATGCCAGACTGAAGGATGGTGAGATGGAATTAAGCCCTGCTTGGTCTCTTGCAGTAAGATCCTGGTAGGGATCTACTGTTTTCTCCACTCTTCCATTTATTCATTCATTAGGATATAGTATAGGATTGGAGGGAGGCAGGCTTGGCCTCAAGGTATGTGCATAGCCCAGTGATATTAGACACAAAAGAACAGAAACAATCTAACATTTTACAAGCTGCAAATATGCTAACCATTGTGGTGTCCAGGAGAGAGATGCTAACATGATGGAGGAGGGCAAATCAATCCCAGAAAGATCTGAAATAAAGAGGGAAATGCTAAATTTGGATATCAGGTGAAAGATAGATGATAGAGGCTGAGAAATAGACAGTTAAGCAGGAGAAGATATTAAGGCAAGATCACCAAACTCTGTGTATTTTGGTAGACAGAGCCATAAGCTAGGATGAAAGAACTAGAGCACTTCAGGATGAGAGCATGGGTATCATAGGTGGGCTCCTGGGACAGCTGGATCCATACAGCCAGCAATTAGAAGGAGGAGCTTGGGCCCTTTGCTAGGCCTGATGGGCCTTGAAGTCCCTTTTGTTGATTGGAATTTGATGTAATACTGATGTACCCATCCACGCCTAGCGAAATGAGGTACTGTGGGTCACATTAAAGCAGATTTGTGGCATGAGCTTCCCTTTCCCTGAATGTCACAAGTTCTTCCAGTTGCCGGAGGACTCCCAACTCTGCAGATAGAGAAGGCAAGGCAAAGAGATCTACACTGAGCTACGGATGTGGTGGGGAAGTGGAAACCAAGCTGACATTTGGTGTGTTGTAGCATTCCCAGCTCTGGTTTAACACAAGCGATGTGTTTCACTCACAAACTGGCACTGAGATCTCATTTACATTTAAATAAGAGGCTTGTTAATGCCAGCAGGAGTACTCTGTCAGTGCCAAGCCTGGCTGAGGGTTCCTGCCAAGGAGTTTCTAAGAGCATCGCTCTAGGAAACTCCCCCAGAAGAGAAGCAAGCATGCCTTCTCATTAAGACAGCTCTACCACAGTGACATTTGCCTCAGAGCAGCAAGCCTTTGGCTGGGCTGGAAGCAAGTTGTTGAGTCTTGGAAAGTTATCTGCTGCCAAGACAGTCGTTTAGCTCAATTTGGCTCCACACACACTCAGAGACCACCTGGCATGAGATGCCTTGGTTGGGAGCATGGTTAATTCCTGGCCCCTGGCACCTCCTAGTCTTGTTGGCAGAGCCAGGTGTTATAAAGGAGCATGTGCAGAAGGCCATGTTACAACATTAAAAAAAAAGAGGGCATAGTCCATTGTCAGACAGCTCTTACACTGGAAGATTTTTCCTGATATTAACAAGAAATATGTTCCTTTTGAGCACAGATCATGTAATCAAATGCCTGCAGATGCCAAGCAGGGAGCATGGCTCAGCGAAGTGGGCTGTTTGTAAAACCCTCAGAACTGTGTGAGTTTGTGCTAACCTGGGATAGTCTTTTTTCATCTAAGAGGGCAAGTAACGCTCAGCAAAAGCTGATCTTAGGTTTTATAAATATGGATGATGCCCTATAACGTTTCAAGAATAATGGAGCAGACAGGTCATTAGACGAGTTTGACAACACAATTTATGAGCACTCCTGGAAATAAAAAAGTACTATAGAAATACACAGAAATAATAATGATGAACAACACATTGCTTACAAGTCACAAAGACAGACACATAAGAACAGAAATAATTTAACATATTTCAAACTACAAATCTGCTAGCCATTGGGGTGGCCAGGACAGAGATGACTAAACTCTACATGTTGGATTTTGTGTTTAGGATACAATTAAAAGAAATTGATGTTTAAACTCAATCTGAAAGACGAGAGGAAGTTAACCCAGGCAATCACGGGGGAGGAGAAAAGGAGGAATCTATGCAAAGGCCCTGAGGCAAGACAGAGCAATGTACATTTGAGAATGTAAAGGCAATTTGATGGAAAGAACTTGAAATTCAAGACAGGAAAAGGATGGAGAGGTAAGTAAAGACTAAGTTGAGAAGGGCTGTCCAATCCACTGAAAATGTTTGGGCTTTAGCCTCAGAGCAATATGGTTAAGCAGAAGAGTGACAAGGTAAAGACTGATGCTGGATGAATCCCTCAACGGTTGTGTACCCCAGTTCTCATAAAAGAAGCAGCATAGTAGATGTTTTGAAAAGTGCAAGGACTTGAAGTCAAAATGTCACAGGTTCTGCTTCTAGCTCCCCCACCCGGTGCACCAGGGGAAGCTCGTGTACTTACCAGATAGAAAGAATATATACCAACCGCTGGTGAGCTGGTGGGGAAGAGGAAATTGTCATCCCTGCTGATGGTACAGAAAACCAATGAGCAATTAAAACTGTCTTGTCAGGGATCTGGACAAAAGTTTTGAGAAGTGCTACAAGCATGCATTCTCTTGTTCCCTGAAAGAAAAAGATGAATGCTAATAATCAGCTTCAAAAATGTTCAAGACGCTGTTTATAAATGCCCAAAATGTGATTTAAGTAATTGATGACTAGACAGTCTTCACATTTTTTATCTGATCCAGGTCCATTTGGCTTTTTGTATTTAAACAAGATTGGGTCCACCACTCATCTCAGACACATTGAAGACCTTGTGACTTAAATTCCAATTATCTCCAGTGATTCTTATTCTCCTAGGGGTCTCTGGCTGCAAATTCGGTTTAATTCTCCATTCATACTCTGTGTTTTACCCCACCCCTACTGTCTCTTTTCTACAATGTCCACCTGTGTGACACAACCCAGCCCAAATATCCTATGATTTTAAAGGTACTAGGGCCCCAGGTAAGGAGCATGGTCAGCTTTTACTGAGGGATTGGGCAGGAGAGAAATTGATATCCCAGCAGAAAGGCACCTTCTGTGCTTTCATAGTCCCTCATTCTAAGCTTCTTTTCAATTAATTTGCTTTTATTTTCCAAGATTCCTTATTCTTCAGTTCCATTTCAGCTTCCTACTCTGCAACTATTTCTCTTTCCTTATATTTTCCCACATTCATCTAGCTTACTATTTCTCAGTGCTTACCCTTAGCCTAATCAGAGACTAACCATGAATATTTTGTACTCAGGGCGTTCCTTGTTAATCACTCAGAAGTGTCACCAGGCCTTGGATGAAGATTCTCCCCATTTCTTGACTCCCTTGTGGTGGAGGTGAGCAGAAGGAAGCAGTAGAAGGATTTATTTTCTTACTTATATACAGTATACAACCATCTTCCATTTTGGAAAGTAAAGGAGGAATAATAATTGTTTGCATTTTAATACTCTTACAACCCTTGAAAATAATCTCAGTGTCCAGACCTTAGAGCATGGTACAGTCATGGAATGTAACACAATGCAACCATTAAGGTGATACTGTAAAGCAGACATGGATTGTTTCGAGGTAAATATGCAGATGTATATGATAAGAGTAACCATGAACTATAAGGTAGTATACTACACTGCCTTTTAAAATGTATTTTCACTTGTATGCATGCAAGAAAAGTGGTTATGTCTAGAGTAGTCTTTGTCAGTGAAAGTGATTTCCCCCCTAGGGGGCATTTGGCAGTGTGGCATGACCCTTTTTTGATCATTACAAATAAGGAAGAAGAATGTGCTAATGACAGCTAGCACACAGGGTCTTTGATGCTGCTAAACTCCCGGCAGTGTGTAGGTTAGCCCTAACAATAAAGCATTATCCAGCTCAAAGTATCAAGACTGACCCAATCTACTGTAGATGATGGCTTTATGGAAAATTAAAACTTTCTCTTTACTTGTCTGTACTTTCTATTTTTCTAAAGTGAGCGTATATAGATTTTATCTGATTTTTTAAAGGTACATTAAGTGAGTACTTCTGAAATGGATCTGGAGTGAACACCTGCATTTTTGCTATGAAATAAAAGCACTTTAGTATAGTGTCTTAGGTTCATTTCCAACCACACTCCCTCTAAAATCACTTCTTTAAATTGGGGACCCACTACTCCAGAAGTAGCAGTTGACTTCTTCACCAGCTACGCTAATACTTATGCTGTGTAACATGACCTAGTCTCTGGACACTGTCATTCTGAATTTGGTGATGTGCTGGTAACTGAAACAAGTAGCTTACCTGAACTAAGGAGGTAGAGCAAATGTCTGGTCAGAAGAGACAGGGTGTCTGGCACATCCAGGGTTCCAGGTTGCTGATCCTCCATTCATGGAGGTCCTTTACATTGTCTCAGAAAACCTTTGCAAAGGAATTATTCTTGTCATCAAAGAGTGTTTGCTTGGAAGTTTAATCACTTGAAGAAGTGGTTTATTGCCCCCATAGACTCATCTGCTGTGAATATTAGTCCTAATTAGTAGCTGAAATAGTGATGAGTTAGCAGAACTTCTGTGTTTGATGCTGTGGTTTTGGGGCCAGCATTCATAGTTGAAAAGAAAAAAGCAAACAACTTTGCCATGTCATGAATCCTTTTTCCTAATTCCCAGGGAGCTGAAAGGCCTTTGGGGGTCTGCTTTATCCTTTGACCCTCAAACTACTGGAAATTTAGAGGTTATAGAAATGACTCATATGGTGGGAAAAGTGAATCCCACAGTTATAAGGGGCTCTGGTAGATTTTCCAAGGGGGAATGAGCCTCCTTGTGAATAGTCTAGCTTCTCATGATGGAATAAACAAAATCTCTCAGAAAGAAGAGTTTTTCCCTTTTGCCCAAGAATAGCAGGCTTTCTCTGAAAGTAGCATGGGTTAGGTGATCCCCACTGCCACCAATTTGGCTGGAGGAGACAGAGATCTGAGACTGCCAATGAGTAGTTCAGAAGAAAAATGATGGTAGAAACTAAGAGAGACTGAAGTTAGAAGATGTCAGCTAAGGAAGGAGCTGATGTCTTCCAAGGTTTTGGAAGAAAAGAATATAGGAAACATTGGGACTCATCCTGCCTGAAAGGCTTGTCCTCAAACGATTTTGGTTATCCACCATCTGCCATGGATGTGAGAGAAGAGACGCACCTGATCTCAAAGGCACCAGTGAACAGCGCCCTCTACTTCCGTTCCCTGAAGACGCCCTCGGAGCTTCTGTTCTGCTCCTTTCCATTGTCTTTCTGGGAGGAGTCACTACCAGTTGTCTCTGGTGGTACAGTCCACGTGGAGCAAGGCTCTGGCTTCCTTTACTCTATGCAAACGTCACTTGTTTCCCAGGAGACAGAACTAATAAGAATATTCTAGAGGGAAGCAAAAGAAACTGTTGGCAGCCTAAAGATATGAGGACTTATTTTAGAAGCTCCCGAGTAAAGACAGCATTTATATCCGGGCTCAACCCCTTAAATGGGGGAGGTCGATGTAACTCTGCAGAGCTCAGGTTGGGAAGGAAGAGTGTCGGTTTCTCACTAGTAGAACTGGGCCAGGTCCCTTCTAACTTAGATTTCTGTTTTACTTACGGCATTTATGAATAGCACAGAGCAACAAAAACAACATCCAAGAATAAAAAAAGAAAGAAAGAAAATTGCTAAACTTACGGGTACTCTCTGGAGACTTGAGTTCTCCTCCCCTCCCCTTTTTCTCTGTCTCAAGCGGTTGCTATGTGAGGAAGTCATTCTGTCCAGACTGTGAACTATAACAACAGCCCGGAACTTTTCCATTGTACTGACAGGGGAGAAAAAGTCCCGGAGGAAGCAATATTAGTCAGTATTTAGTCACACTTGAGAACAATGGGATAGTTTAGGTTGGCTCAGCATCACATATTGTGATCTCTTTATGGCCAAGATGAAGCCCTTTCTGTTGGAAAATTTCATCCAGTGTTCGAAGCTGTTTGAGACCCTCTTCTTCCTTCCATCCATCATAGTATAGAACATAAGGCTGTTCTTCACATCCCATGCAAACTTAGAAAGATTTAAGGAAGAAAAATAATGGAGTAGAAAATATGTCACAGGAAACAGAGGACGAGTCTATACTGGTCCATCTTCCTTTCTCCCAGAGAAGTGTAATTGTCTCCTGCTTTGTAGGCACACCTCTGCCTCCATTTCCTTTAGGGAGAACTCTGAAAAGAGAGCACATCTAACTCTTACCAGCCCACACAGCAGCATTCATTCATTCATTCATTGACTCATTCAACTATGCTTTTAATATACTTTTGTATCCATTGACTGCACAGTTACTCAGGCCTGTTTCATACCTGGCACAATTCTTAAGTGGATGAGTACAACATAATTTGCCTTGACAGAAATTTGAGTAGAAGAAAAATAATATATATACCTGTACAAAGTCACATGGAAATACACAAGAGTGACAAACAGCTTTACAGAGGTCAAACAGAGGAGATTTCCTAGAGGAAGTAATATGGGGCTGGGTCTTGGAGTGTGAATAGTATCAAAGATGCACAAAGGCAGGACAGTAAGGGACAGAGACAGATTTTTTTCCAGTAAGTGCTGACAGAAGGAGAATGAGCTGAGCTGTGTTCCCATTTCTGCAGAGATGACTCAGCATTTCAGAGAGGAGGGAACAGAGATGGGAAGTGAGAAATTACAGAAAGTGGGTTAGAAAGTTGCCGTGTAAATGTGATCAGTCCAGCTGTGTCTGCTAGCTGCTAGCATGAAGGGTGGGATATACTATCCACCCGGAAAATGGGAATCCAAGGCTCTCTCTTCCGGATCATGACACTTAGAAGGAATGGCTGTCAGATCCTTGTGAAAGATATTCTGGAGTTGTAGGAGGTACATGTATATCCCAAAGGGAAGGGAGAAGGATTTACAGACCAAACTTGTAAAGCAAATGGCCCAAGAGAATGTCAGTGGCCTCTCCTCAGGTCTCTGTCTAGAATAAGCATTAGCTTTTTATTTATAGCCGTGAACTTTTCAGACAGATGTGGGTTAGGTTGTTGAGAAATTTCATCCAGCGTTTAAAGGGATTTGAGATCCTCTTCTTCTCTCTACTCTACCCATCATGGTCTAGAATATAAAATAGTTCTTCAGAGTCCATAAGAAAAGTATGTGAGCTGGGTCTTCCAATGATGCAGCCTTAGGCTTCCAGAAGCCATACAAGACTTGGCCCAGTCTTTTAGTACAGGGTTTCAAATGGAGTCATGATGTGCCAGAAATTTTGCATAGTTCTCAGAAGGTGTCAAGTTCATGCTGTGGAATTTGAATTGTGTCCTTGGGGTGAGGGCTATGATCAGGATATTAGGGTATTTGTGGTAACTGAGATTCAATCACCAGGCTGGTTACAGGGGAGGATGGCTTATGGATAGTGGGAGCGTAAGGTCAGAAAGACTGAGCGAGGACAACCTGAAATGATTTCCTAGAGAAACGACAGCTTTGACTAGGGCAGTAGAAGGCTGATGGGGGAGCTGGGTGTGAAGAAGAAAGGAGGAGTTAGTATGTGATGATGAGGCAGAGGAACCTGAGTTAAAACTGAAGCCTGGATCCTGGGTGACCCAGTCAACATACAGACTTAGTTGCCACAGGCTTCCCTTATTTGCTTCTTTCTTCTTCTTCTTAATGGACTCATTCCTTTCCAAGGAATTGGTAAGGAAGGAGAATCTTTGATCTGAATTTAAGAATGTTGTTAGTGGGACTGCATGTAGAATTCTATACCATTGTTAGTTTTACGCCATTCTAAGAAAAGAATGAGTATTTTATTGACTTTCTTAGCAAAATAGCCAATGCCGAAAGGGATGAACACTTTGCTTTGGACATAAATCTGGGGAGAAGTTGAGGAAAAATCAGTTTAATTCCATTACATAATCACCTATTTAGAGTCAGTGATATGCCTGGCCATATTGCATACTTGGAAAGGATCTAAATTAATAAGATAATTTAAACTTCAGAGGGATTATAATTGTTTGGGTATGCAGACATATACACAACCAAGGAAAGGGGTGTGATAGTTGGCACTGTAACAAAAACCCAGAAGAGACTGTAATCAGGTTCAATAAGGAAAAAACTGAAGACTTCACCAGGGAACGCCTCTATAAAGGATGCCAGAGACAGAGAATTGTGAGAAGAGACAGAGAAGTGTCTTCTCATTGCTTGGCCCACATTGAGATCTTTGCTTTCTATTTTTCATTCATTTCATGTGCATTTACTAAAAGAGTTGCTTCTAGGATTCTGTATAAAAAGGCAGAGAAGTACTACTAGGGCTTCTCATGGGCCCTTCTAATGTCAACTTTGCCTCAGATATACCAGGAGGTACCAGGAGTATTACTTTCCTTTCCTTTTTTTAAAAAAAATATTATATTGTAAAATATGGGATAGATGCATAACATGTATTATAATGTATAATAATAGAATGAATGCCTAGAAAGTTACAACCCAACTGAAGACATGGGATACAGACATCCCTTGTTTAATGACTGAAGTCTGGTCCTGTGAGTAGATTACTAAATGAATTTGTCTCTAAATGAGAAAGTGTATGTAGTATGTACATTACAATATGCAGAACAAAGAAATATAAAAGAAAGCAGCACCTTGATGGCTTTCCTTTTATTTGCATAGCTCTCACATGCTGTACTTTAATGTATAACAGCCCAAAAAAACTACAGAAGTGTACTATACAGTGCCATCAACAGAAGCTACAGTGCTGCATAAACAAAGTACACTGTACAAAAAGATATTGAGGTTCTATAAACAAGATGTACAGAACTGTACAAAAAAAAGATTGGTTGTAAGTCAGGGCAGTGGATGGTATATCCAAATAGTGTGTATTGGTCATAAGTCTAAACAGTTTTTAAACAGGTTGTTGAAAGAGGAATATCTGTATTAATAGTAGCACTGGAGTTCCCTATATCTTTCACCAGTCATATTTCCTTTCTTTCATCCCCCTCTGGAGTGTGTGTGTGTGTGTGTGTGTGTGTGTGTGTGTGTGTGTACCTTTAAGCAACATGATTTATTCTACCATTTCTCTGTGAGTGATGTCATGTGAATGTGTTTACTCTTCTATGACTTTTTTCCCACTCCATACCATGTTTCTGAGGATTAATCATATTTTTTTCAGACATGGGATTTGTATTACCCAGGCTGGTTTTGAACTCCTGGGCTCAAGTGACTGTCTCACTTCAGCCTCCTGAAGAGCTGGATGTATAGGTACATGCCACTACACCCGGAGAACTGATTATACTGATTTATTCAACTGTAGTTCATTGTTTTCACTGTTACCCATTTTTCTAGTGTAGCAATAAACTAATATTGGTTTAATAATTTTCCTTGAGTTGTCCCTTGTGTGCATTTCAGTGATTTGCTACTATAAATATCATAGCTCCAGACATAGGTATATGCCTCTGGATATGGAAGAGAAACGTCTGCCTAGGCACTACTACTTGGATGTGGAATATGCTTCATAAGCTTATGTGTTAAAGACTTGGTTCCCCTGGTGGTACTATGGAAAAATGTCAGAAACTTGAAGAGATGAGGCCTAATGGGAAGTTTTAGGCTATTGTGGTGTGACCTCAAAGGCTACAGTGGGACCCTGGTTAGCTGTTTCCTGTAATTCAGCTGCTGTACCATGTGCTCCCTGTCATAATTTGCTGCCATATCACAGGCACGAAAATAACAGGGTCTTGACCATTGACTGACATTCCCAAAACTGTTAGGCAAAATAACCTTCTCTACTTACAAGTTGATTATTACAGAAATTTTTTTTTACAATATCAGAAAATTAGCACACTGGTTATAGAACTGGCATACCTTCACCTTTATTAGATAATGTTGAATTATTTTCCATACTGTGACAAAGTAAAGTTTCAGTATTTTTGTATGTAAATACCCACAGCTCCATAGCTTCTCCAATAGCTGGCAGTCCCACATGTTTAGATTTTTGCTGATCTGTTTGACATAAAATAGTAACTCATGTTAATTTTACTTCTCTAATGACTAAGTGAACTGGTTTTTCCCCTGTCAGTTGGTCATGTATAACACCTCTTTCAAGAAATGTCTGTTCTTGTACCTACTTTCTATTGGATTTTCTTTTCTTTTCCTAGAATTTTTATTTTATTATTATTTTTTTTTTTGGTTTTTCTCCGGTACCGGGAACTGAACTCACGACCTTGCGCTTGCCAGGCAGGCGCTTTTGCCGCTGAGCTAAATCCCCAGCCCTTTCCTAGAATTTTTAAAAAAAATAAAATTCTAGTCTGTAAACTTTTGTTAGTTTTATGTCTCACAAATAGCTATTCCCAGCTTGAAACTAATATAAGACTTTTCACTAACTAAATTT